AAGAGTTATGGTGAGTGGGCGGGTAAGTGGAGCTGAGTCTCCATAAGATCAGCCATGATCTTATTAAATGGCGGGGCAGGCTCAAGGGGCCAGATGGCCTACTCCTGCTCCTAGTTCTTATGTCCTTATGTTCTTATGAGTGAGGGGTGACTTAATGGAAGTGTATTAGATCTTGAATTATGTTGGCAAGGTGGATTTGGGAAGGATGTTTCCTCTTGTGGATAAGTCCAAACCTAGGGGACACTGTTTAAAAATGAAAGTTTGCCATTTAGGACAGAGATGCGAAGACATTTCTTTTTCTCTCTCAAAGGGTTATGCAACTTTGGAACTCTCTGTGTCAGAAGGCTATGGAAGTGGGGTCATCGAATAATTTTGAGGCAGATTTGGATAGTTTCTTGTTAGGCAGTAGAATAAAATGTTATCAGAAGTAGATGGAATATGATGTTTGAAACACAAACAGATCTTATTGAAGGTGGAGCTCATTCGAGGGGCTGAATGGCCTGCTTCTCCTAATTTGTGTAAGTTCTTATGGCAACACTTACTTTTACCCACCCCCATCCCCACAGTCCTTTATACACCCAGACCAATTCACACAACCTACATCCCATTCCCTTGCCCTACCACCATGCTAGCACAATGCCACACTCTCTGTACCCTCCAGCCAATTTGTGCCACTCACACACACCTCATACCACTTTATACTCCCATTTCAATTCATGCCAGTTTATTTCCCTACACATCACAGGACAGTGTCATGGAGTTGACAGTTCACTGGCACTCCAGATTTGAGGAGGATCATTGAGAGACCTTCTGGAAGACTTTGTCAAGAAAGGGCCAATGGAAAGTAATCAAGGGTGAACTTTGCCTATTGTGCCATAAATTCTATCAACAAATATTCCAGAAATTCTCTAAAGGGACTTCATGGAGCACTCTATAGGTGGCAGCCAGAGATAGGGAGTGTTTGGCCGTGGGCTTCTTGCTAAAGAGTCCGCACTGGGAGGATCAGCTGCTGCAGCACCATGAGGTGGATTCTACCCCCAACCTTGGAGAGCAGCCCTCCTCATCTGGATGAGCTCCACCTGATCTTCCTTTGCCATGTTTGAGAACCACTGCAAGCTCACTCCTGGTCACAGAGCCTGTGCTAAAGCCTGTGACTGTATGTCAGTCAGCACACTGCATACTTTCGGTGAAGTCCACACACACATCTGCTAAAATTGGTTCTAGTCAGTAGAGGAGGGGTAGAACTTAAAGTGTCTGTTTTAGAACCTCTCAGCAAGTTACCTCCAATGACTTGGTAATTGTATGCTAAAAATCAGATTTTGAAACATGCAAGTCTTATTGGTACCCACACCTGTTTTTGCTGGCTTCAAATCCTACCATGGCAGCTGATGGAATTTAAGATGCAGTGGTAATGTCCCTACCCCTCAGCCAGGAGGCCTGGGTTCAAGTCCTACCTGCTCCAGAGATGTATCTCTATGCGTTTTAATTAGAAGTATCTATAATGCCTGTTTTCACTCTTTCCCCAAAGTAAGCTCTAGTGCCTTGAGCTTTCTCTCATAATGTTGTGTTTTAGCAGCTTAGCACTGTTCTCTGTACTCTGTCCATGGCCTTTAATGCACTGTATAGTTAACTTTAAGCTTCATGAAACAATTTGAATCACATCATGCAGAATAACGCTATGACCTAATCCTGATAGTCGAAAATACAGTTCCCACATTATTAACCAGAGGAAAAGGCATTTTATCTTGGGAAATCAGCATTCACACTTTGCCAATTGGCCAGAATCCAGAGCAATCGCTGAGAATGTGACTGGGAGGTGAGCTACTTCTGCATACTTAGATAATTATTGGTACTTGGTTAGTTAATGTGTTTTTGTTCAGGCTGTGTGGGAGATGAGCATGTGTGTCTAAAATTGATCCCGAGGCTATACATAGCAGCATTGCCTGTGTTGTGGACATTGTGTGAAATGCAGACTCTAGAATTTGCCCACATCCTTTCCCAGCCCACCCCTCACACTGCCAATGGTAATTCATCCACACAGAGCAGAGAACCAGGGGAGCAGTTCCATTCATATGTGTGGCATTGTCTTTTTAATTGACTAGCACAGTGTCTGTATTATAGCTAAGACTACAATGTATGACACTGTAACAGTATATACAGAGCAGGAAGAGTTGTTGTAGTCTCTACTGGAATTGAATGGAGGGATCTCCTGGGCATGGCAAAATGGACAAAGTTCACCCTTGATTCCTGTCCATTGGCTCTTTCTGAGGGCGTAGATGTCTGGTTTAACCATGCTGATTTCCACCAACCTCCCCCATCCCTTCCCTCCAACTACCCAAAGAATGAGCTGCCAACACATCCTGCTGAGGCTCATGCAGGAAGAATGCCACTCCGACAAGGCTGAGGAGGTACCACGGCAATGAGACGACAATGCCTTCAGGACAGCAAGGGAGAGGAGGAGTCTGTCATTTAATGGTCATTGATCTCATTTCGGGGGCAAAGCACTGATGAGAAGAATGAAATGATTTGCTCCCTTGGGGAAGTTCAGAACAAGAGGGCATAATCTTAAAGTAAGGGTATGCAGGGTTGATACAGAAGGTACTTCTTCACACAACAGGAAACGGCAGTGTGGAACTCTGCAGCATACCCACTCCCCAAAAAGAAATATCTTGAAATTAGAGATTAATTAAAAGTCTCAAAGCTGAGATTGATTTGATTAAGGGCTCGGAAGCAAGGAAGGTAAAGGAGGTTGGGATATAAATTTATCCATGATTTAATTGACTGACGAGACAGGCTTGAGAGACTGAATGGTCTCTTCCATTTCCTGTGCCCTTCCCTTTCACAGCAAGCAATGAAATCCAAGTGAGCGTTCTCCAAATTACTCTTTCTCTCCTTGCTGTTGGCTGCCTGTATAATAATGTTTAACAGAGTCGTCAGGTGGCCCACTGTACAGTGAGAGCATTAAGCAAAGACAGGGCATGAAACGCATTTGAATAAAGGCTGTGATTCATGTAAACACCACAGAAACAAATCAGCCATGATTGAATGGTGGAGCAGACTCGATGGGCTGAATGGCCTCCTTATGGTCTTAAGGCAAAGGCAGACATCATCTGTAAACAATGGAAAGTAACAGCCAGTCTCAAAGATGCTGCTGCAGTAGGTGTGTGTTTAGAAAAGTTCTTTGGATTTTTACAATTCTTTTCTGTTGGACGTTTCATTTCTCACCTATGAAGTGAGAAATGGAGTTTGGCTTCCTGTGCAAGCCTCTGTTCCTGTTCCCCAATTCTCAGCCTCAGGCCAGAGGTGGGGGCAGAGAGATCTGCTGACCAGACACCGTGGGGGATGGGAGGGTGGGAATCATTTCATCTACCCCCCACTCCCTCTCCTCACCAGTAGCGTGAGGGCAAACACTTCCTGCAGCTTGACATGGCCAGCTGACGGGCCATGTCTGCACACACGCGGAAATCAATTAGGCATTGTGGAGAATCGCTCCAATGAATAAAAGCGTCTTGTTCATGCCAAAAGATGTACAAATTTAAACCTGTCAAAGCAAATTAGACAATAGCAATCAACTTGAGGTTGTTGCATATTTTTATTTATTCTGCCATGGGATATGGGCATCACTGGCAAGACAAACTTTTGTTGGACTGAGCGGCTTGCTTGGCCATTTCAGAGAGCAGTTAGGAGTCAACTACATTGCTGTGTAAATTGCTGTGCATCTGGAGTCACATGTAGATCAGACCAGGTAAGAACAACAGATATCATTCACTAGAGGACATTAATGAACCAGGTGGGTTTTGGAAGCAAAAGATGATAATTTCACTCCAGTACTGAAGATAAATTCCATATTTATTATTTGACCATGTGCCACCCCCACAGTCTCCCCTCATTGTTGAGTATCTAATAACAGTGACTGAATGGGAAACTCAAACAGGCATCGAATCATTAGCCATGTACATGATGATGGGAAGCACGGTACTAAGATATTGTCTGGCACTCATTATAATTGCTGCTTAAAACATGAAAATAACTTTCTGGAACATTCAACTCACCTCCCTGTGACTACATTCATGACCTGTGTGTCTGCAACACATTCACATTCTTATAGTCAAATTTTACCAGACATTCCATTATTTGCGTGATATCTTCTTTCCATCGTTTCATTGCATAAGATGTTTATTGTGTCAACAACACGCCTGATAAACAGCACTCCTGTGAGACAGCTTAAGTAAGAGCTCCATAATGTGGTCACTGAGTTATTCAGTCATTCCCACTTATAGAATAATAATATCTACAACACAGGCAAGAGTGTGAATTCCATCTCTCTGTGTGCATCCTCTGTCAAATAGATGACCCAGACCCGAAAACTGGTTAAGAAATTGGTTAAGAATACCCATAATTACGATCTGTAGTGACTTTGTAAGTTTGATTGTGAAATTTCCTGATATCTGTTTGCAATGAAAGGATGTACACATTTTTAAATGAGGTCAGTTGTGATTCCCTTTTTTAATTATGGAACAAAGTAATACTTAATGAACAAATGTACAGAGGAATCCTTATTTTAAACATCTGTTACATGTATACTTTATACCTAATTCACAAAAAGTACTTTCCAATATGTTTTAAGAGGTCATTTTAAGTTTAAGTGTACCGTCCAGTGTATTTTGTGAGACCAGTCTGCTTTTGGATCCATGTTTTATATGGATATTGAATCTTTTGTGTGTTAAGTATGCTGTTCAATATGGTTTGAGGCCATTAGACAAGGTAGTTTCAGTTCCTGTGTATATGTTTTATGAAGGCATGCATATTTGAATTGCACAATGCTTCTAGGAGGATTGTATTGATATATCAAGGAAATTTGGATTTTGTTTAAATGCTCCTGAAACCTGAATTTGCAAATGTGCTGAGTGCTGAAATAAATTTACATTCAACAAATAGCTGGAATAAACTATTCTGTAAATGTCAGTACATGTCACCCACAATCTTTTTCTAACCTGCAGGGACGTGGATATAATGGACTTATCCCTTGAATATGTTAAGGTACGTAATCTGTTTCAAATTATCATTCGTGTAATGATGTAATTTGCAATCAGTTTAATGAGATGGATCCTCTGCTTTGGATGTGATTTGAGGCTTATCTTGTCGTGCTGAGTGTTTACAAAGTGTTTTCTTCATCCTTTGGGAAAGCAGAAATGTTTCAGTTTCAGCTGTCTGGAACTTTAATTCTCATGGCACAATAATCAGGGCATTCATGTTGGGTTAGTGACTGCATTAAACAGGACGCACAGCAACTTACATAACCCAGACTGGTCAATGCAACTCTTCGTTCTAATTGTACTTAGAATAATATCTGGGCTGCCATCGTTTTATTGTCCACGCCAAGCAGTTTCTGAGAAATGATCAAAGTGCTTTCCTTACAAAGTCTACCTGCTATTCACCTGCCCTAGCTCCACCACTGTTAATCTAAATATATAAACCCATAAACAGAAATGAACTGAAAAGCAGGATCAGGGTTCAAGACATTATGGACTTAAAACCTACAGAAAGATAAAAAGGGTTTCACTAACCACGATATGAGTGATCAGTGAAAGCAGTTTAATTAAATCATCCTCAGCACTTGATCTGTGGCTTTTTAAAAACCCCTGTTTGTGAAGCAGTTTCTTTGGGATATTCCCATAGTAGGTTGATCTTGCCATTGTGGCCAAGATTAAATTGTTAACAAGTCCGACACGGATTTGCAAAAACAAAAGATGCTTTGTTTTGGTTATGTGAGATTTCATGAGCTCTACGACCTAGATAATAGGCGACAGTGGACTGCTTTGCAATCTCAGGCCTTGGTCCCAGAATCTGAAGAACAAACTTGTGTCTCCTGCCTTTGGAATCTGTGAGACTGCATCAATGCCAGAGTCAGTGTGTGAATGTGCTGTCTCAGAGCTGGCTTATAGAGAGGCCCTTTCTAACTGCAAACTCTGACAAGCTGAGGAAATATGGGGAGCAAAGCCTTTCTCGGCCATTCAGATCTCTCCTCAGCTTCAGCCTTTGATGTGAGTAGCAGCAGAAAAATGACCAAGAACTTGCAACATATTTATTTGTTTATGGTGATTACTGAAAGGCGAATACCGAAGTGGCTAAGCGATTAGTGCAAGTTGTTACACAAATGAGGAAGAAACAACATAAAAGCGGTTTGGGTGTATGCTCGAGGCTCCTCGAAATCTGGCCTCTTACACACCCTTGAATTTCTTTGTTCTACCATTGGACACTGCATCTTCAGCTGAACTCTCTTCCTAAAGCTGCCCAGCTTTGTACTTTTCTTTCCTCTTTGGAGATGGTCCTTAAAATTCCTCTCTTTACAGAGGATGGTGGCAATAAACTTACCCCATGGATGGTAAAAGTGCAGACTGCCGCATACAAATGTTGATTCGCAGTGAGGATTCTTTATACAACATTTAGTATGCATTTTTTTTACAGATTGTTATGTATCTATGCATTACATTTTGTTTATAATATACTCCTTGAAGCACATCTGGGACTTTTTACTATGCCCCTACCGATGCTACATAAATGCATACTAAATGTTGTATAAAGAATCCTCACCGCGAATCACCATGTTGTATGAGGCAGTCTGCACTTTTACCCTCCATGGGGTGAGTTTATTGCCACCATCCACTGTCAGGGTAATGATCTACACAAGGGCCTGCTCAGTTTGCGGGGACATGGGAAGATACTAGACAGTATAATGAGAAGTGGCTCATGTCTTAAACAGGATGTAGTTTGTTGCATGTTAGTAACCACATACAAGTGATGCTGCTGTGAAAGACCTTGTCACAGAAACTATGAGGAGGACCTGGACAGTAGGTCTCACTACTTCAAGATCCTAAACTGTTCCCCCAACAGTCAGTACAATATCATCAAAATGAAGGGTGCTTAAGGCACTACTCAGTATTAACTGGTTCAGTTTCATACACACTTGTACTAAAGTCTCCTGTGGCTCAGTGATAGTGACCCTGCCTCTGAGCCAGGAGGCCTGCGTCCAAGTCCCACTTGCTCCAGAGGTACTCATAGAATCCCTACAGTGTGGAAACAGGCCCTTCAGCCCAACAAGTCCATACCGACCCTCAGAGCTTCCCACCCAGACCCATTCTCCTATAACCCACCTAATCTACACATCCCTGAGTACAATAAGTAGTTTAGCATGGCCAATTCACCTAGCCTGCACGTCTTTGGACTGTGGGAGGAAACCCATTGCGACACGGGGAGAATGTGCAAACTCCACACAGACAGTCACCCGAGGCTGGAATCAAACCTGGGTCCTTGGTGCTGTGAGGCAGCAGCGCTAACCACTGAGCCGCCCAATATCTCTGAACAGGCTGATAAGAAATATCTACACTCTTACAGACATTTCACTGTTTTGCCCGTTCCTAATTGCCCAGAGGGCAGTTCAGAGTCAATCACATCACTGTGGTTCTGGAGTCACATGTAGGCTAGACCAGGTAAGGATGGCAGTTTCCTACCCTAAGGGACATTAGCAAACCAAATGGGTTTTTCCAACAATCGATTCACGGTCGTCATTAGCTTCTTAATTGCAGATATTTTATTGAATTCAAATTTCACCATCTGCCGTGGCGGGATTCAAACCTGGGTCCCTAGAACATTATCTGGGTCTCTCTGGATTAGCAATCAAGCGATATTACCACTAGGCCATCGCCTCCCCAGGGTTTTTTTGGGACACCAGAAATGAACAACATTCTGCCTGGTTCCTGGGACAGGGTGTTGTTGGCGTGCGCTGTTAAAGGACAAGCAGCTCCAAACAGCAGCAGTGAACTGCATTCAATCCATGCTGTTCTGGTGAGAGGTGGACTTGGTAAGGTCCTTGGATTTATTGCTGATAGTCTGTGATAAACCGATGCACTTCCCAGGAGCAGAGTCAGTATCATCTAAATGCTGTCCCACACATCACTTCCCTCCCTAAAGACCCCTCCTCCTTTTATCTTGTCAACCCCTGGATTCTATCTTTCTCCCTCTTGCTCGGTGCCATGGCTATTCAGCTACAATGCTGTGAACAGTTTTGAGACACTTGTCTGTCCCCACAGGGAAGTTGCTGTCAGTTTGGAAGTTCCCATTGCAAGTCCTAACCACCGCCAATTATCTTGCTTTACCAATCTCAAAAATGTTTTGTGTGTAATTAGCTCATCAGGGAGTCAAAAGCTTGTGTTGAAACATTGTACAATATTCATTTGCCCGTCATTCCAATCTGAAACTCAGTTTGATATGGAGTAGTAGGCTGAATCATACAGTGAACACTGGCACCCTCTAGTGGTAACAGTCACACTGTCTTCATTGATTTAAGGGTGTATTCAGGAATTTTGATGGACAGATTAATCTCATTAAGTGATTCAGCTGCCTGCCAGTGACTATTAATCCGTGAAAAAAGGTTTGTATTTGTGCTTGTAAAATTTAATCTGCGCTTGTGATACTCCTCTTGAAAATAGCACTGCCATGTTGTGTGTTTTATTTTTCGCTCTGGCTGCAGTCATCATGTTCACAAGAAGGGCCAGTGTCAGGGTAAGTGACAGAGGTGAAACAAACCAAGAGATAGGTGATGACAAATTTGGTGTTCAAAAGGAAAGCAAAACCTGCATTTCTGTAGTGTTTTCCACAACCACCAACTGTTGCAAAAGTGTTTTACAGTCTATACAATGTAGTCACTGCTGTAATATTGGAAACGTGCCCCAGATTTTTCAGGCAATTATATAATAAAAAATGTCTTTTTTATTTCCATAAAGGATAACATTTTATGTGATGTTAATTGAAGGATAAACATTGGCCAGGGCACCTGGGATAACTTAGTTTTGTGTTGCATCTGGATAACTGCACCTGTGAAAGTGCAGCACTCCCTCAGTGTTCAGACAGTGGGACAGCAGAGCTACCTGCTAAGTAGTTACTCATTTACAGCCTATTGAACATACATTCCCCCCACGCAAGTAATTGTGGATGGCCGCCTTCTTTAGATTGGTGTCTGCTTGTCCTTCAATCCGCCCAGTGACTAAGGCCCATTCCCTATCCCCCTTGTTCTCCTGAACTTCCCCTGATCCCGTTCCCATCCAGATCCCGATGCCCCACCTTAGGCTTACACTGTCCCTTCATGGATTCCCCTTTTTTATCCTTACTCTCCAGTGCACCTTACCACCCCATGCTTTACCCCATCCTTCCTCGCCCCTTTACCCTGTCTCTGTGATTCTCCCAGTTTCCTCTCTCCATTCCTCAGGATCTTGCCCTTACAACCACATCCTTTAAGCTACATTTGTTACCTTTACAGTCCACCTAGCCCACCTTTCTATGACCATTTGTTGTTGAGACCCCCTTTCATTACACATCCAACTTGAGCCTTGGTGAGGTTGGTTGGCATCTGCCAGCGTGGCTGCCTCACTTGGGCAGGCTAGTGGACACTGACAAGGCTTCACCTCTTACACAGTAAACAGTTTGGAACTGTAACAAGAAAGACCACATATGATTGAGACGTCTGGTTGACCCAGTGAGGCTTCACCCGTTACACTGTAAGTTTTTGCGCAAAGCAAAGGTTTCGTTAGGAAGGATCCAAGTTACTGAAGAGGCTTGGCCTCACTGGAGCTTGGAGGTACACCAGGTAGATGCTTCACACATACAGCTAGGCTTGTGAACATGCGTGACTCCTGTCTGGGCACCTCTGAGTGTAATTTCCAGCAGCCTGGGATGCTCGTGAATATTTATGATGCACCAACAAGTGCAAAAGAGCTTGTTTGGGAATGCTGACCCACCGAAAGGTTACAAAAACCAGATAACAAAATGTTAACCCATCGTCAGGACCCTGCAGTTTTGCTTCCCACCCAATTACATTTCCCGGCCATACATCTAAAGCCTCCTGTGTCTCTCAATGCCCTAAACTGCCTGGCAAATATTAATAACAATGTGAGCTTTTATCGAGCCATTAGTTATCTGCCAAGATTTTGCCCATTATGTTAAGGATATAATTAAAACCACAAGACCATAAGGAAAAGGAGTAG